CATTAGGCAGATAAAATTATAAAACAGAGAAAGAAACAAAGATTTCTTCCACAAACAGAACTGGCCCTGAAACCCTCCTGAAACTGGCAGACAGGAGGAAAGCAAGGCGGAGGATGCTGGGATATGAACTGTCTCACTGTCATGAGACCATTGCCAGTTTCTCTTGCAGCCTGAGCAGATGAGGCAGCACTTTCGGGGACAGGCTAATCTCTCCCCTGCCTTGGAGCGGGGCATTCCCAAGTCACAGACACTGTACGAGTACACGCCATGACAGGGAAACCTCTCTCTCTCTAACAGGAAAATGCTTCTTCTGCTCTGGCTGAAGTAGATTCTCTTTCTGTCGGAACTAAGTATGCATGGTATAGCTATTGGGATATAATAACCATCCATTCTGGAAAAATAACAAAAGGCTTTTATGAAACTCCAATTCTGTGAACTTTGACTAAATTTGATTCCCAGTGTATCAAGGCTCCCACAAACCGGTTTCATGGAAACTTTCAGAGTTCTTGCCCACCCCCAGAGGCCATCTCCACTGCGTCCAGCCAGATAGAAGAGATAGTTCCAGATCCTTCCACGTGGGCTTATAGAGGGAACTGGGGACCCGGGGAGGGTGTCAGAGGGCTCAGATTTGACTTGGTTTAGACGTGACCCCGCAGATTGCCAGTTTTCTCACCTGGATTCTATCTACCCACTCTGTGGAATGCAGAGCAATTGCACCTGGGTGAAGGTTAGTGAGCCCAAGTGCATGAGGCAGCACTGTGGGCTTTCCCTGGGTCTGAAGAAGCCCGAGGACCAGTGTTACAGTCCCTGAGTTCTCAGCCCACCCCAGGCCCTGCAGCGCTGTGGAAGATGCTCCTCCCCTGGCTTTGCTTAGGGATAGATCTGAGGTCACCCAGGGACCCACAGCTGCATCCTCCGCAGCGTTCTGACTAACCCTGAGTCAAGTGTTAGGGCTCAGAAAAGCTTCAACAATAAAAATAGCTCCAGGAAAGTGGCAGCTTCAATTCTTCGTGCCTTCGTGTGGGTGAATGCCTCCTTCCACGCCACTCACTGGGAGGCTCTTGGAAAGCACATCTGAAACTCCAAATGAAAAGAACAGATCCAGTTAACAGATCCAGTTAACTCTCCCAGACTTAGGGGTAAAAACTGAAGCTCAGAACCATTGTAATTGTTAAATGATGGCAGCATGTTCTGGTGGCCTGGCCGCCCCTTCTCTGGAGCAGCTGGGCTGTACATTGAGTTGAGACATTGTCCGCAGAGGACTTTTTAGATGGACTGGAGATGACCAATCTGGAGGACAAAGAGCCGTGACAGCTGAGACCTGTTAGCAGAGCCCAGAGACCCAACAGGCTCACCTGACGTGAGGTTGGCTATAAATGTGAGTCCTAGAGAAGGGAGCTGGGCTCACTGTCCAGGCCCTCTGCCATCTGGAGCTGCTCTCCTGGTGCCCTTGGGGTGGCCCCAAGGAAGGTGCTCGGCTTTTGGCTCCAGGATTCCATTAAGAGCAAAGGAGAGGCCGGGCACAGTGGCTCATGCCTGTAATCCCAGCACTTTGGGAGGCTGAGGAGGGTGGATCACGAGGTCAGGAGATCTAGATTATCCTGGCTAACATGGTGAAACCCTGTCTCTATTAAAAATTAGCCGGGCGTGGTGGGTGCCTGTAGTCCCAGCTACTTGGGAGGCTGAGGCAGGAAAATGGCGTGAACCCAGGAGGCAGAGCTTGCAGTGAGCTGAGATCGCTCCACTGCACTCCAGCCTGGGCGACAGAGCAAGACGCCATCTCAAAAAAAAAAAAAAAAAAAAAAAAAGGAGAAGTGAGACCTCCATGCTATTGAGGGGGAACCCTCTGACACTGTGACTCTTTTAGGATTTTCAGCCCAGGAAAAGAAAAAAGAAAAGCATGCTTGTGACAGTATAAGATTCTATTTCAGGACAAGAAACAGTATTTTGGGTGAATCTAAGGAAGTCATTTTGTCAAGTTTCAGACAGAAGCCCAACAACAACAAAAAATTTAAATAGAGAGCCCAAGACGGTTGGCATGGCCTCATCAAGAAGAGGTTTGCCTCGGAATCTTCCATAAAAAGCCTGAAAAGCAGCACAAAGTGCGGACCAGCGGGAGCACACGCCATAGTTATCAGAGCATGCCCTGCTGGCCGCCTTCCCCACCCAGAAAACACATTTGGCTTCAGACACCAAGGATACAGGGGACAGAGAAAGAGACACAGACAGACAGAAACAGAGAGAAGCTCAGAAAATAACTCTACATTGTATTCATTCTTACTGAGTGCTTACCACTGATCAAGACGTTCTGCTAGCTCCTGGGACAAAAAGACATTCTAATTTTCACTGCTAAGGGGCAACTTTTTTTTTTTTTTTTTTTTTCTTTTCTTGAGACAGAGTCTCACTCTGTCACCCAGGTTGGAGTGCAGTGCTATAATCTCAGCTCACTGCAACCTCTGCCTCCCAGGTTCAAGCAATTATCCTTCCTCAGCTTCCTGAGTAGCTGGGATTACAGGTGCACACGCCAGCACGGCCAGCTAATTTTTGTATTTATTGTGTGTTTTAGTAGAGACAGGGTTTTGCCATGTTGGCCAGGCTGCTCTTGAACTCCTGACCTCACATGACCCCCTGCCTTGGCCTCCCAAAGCGCCGGGATTATGGGTGTGAGCCACGGTGCCCGGCCTAATTTTTGTATTTTTAGTAGAGACAAGGTTTCACCAAGTTGGCTAGGCTGGTCTCGAACTCCTGACCTCAAGTGATCCACCCGCTTTGGCCTCCCAAAGTGCTGGGATTACAGGTGTGAGCCACCGTGCCTGGCCTGCAACTTTTGATTTTAATCCCAACAGTCCACTATCATGAACAGCTACTCTGGGCTGGCTACTGTTATGAAACCCGTTGCCTCATTTCATCCCCATGACAAAGCTATGAACTAACCTGCCCTGGACATTGGACAGGAGCATGCACATTGTGTTAGTTTATTCTTGCACTGCTATGAAGAACGACCTGAGACTGGGTAATGCATAAGCAAAGAGGTTTAATTGGCTCATGGTTCTGCAGGCTGGACAGTAAGCATAGCAGCCTCTGCCTCTGGAGAGACCTCAGGAAGCTTCCAATCGTGGTGGAAGGCAAAGGAGACTCAGGCACATCTCGAGGCTAAAACAGGAGCAAGAGAATGAGAAGGGAGGTGCCACACACTTTTAAATGACCAGATCTCTCAAGAACTCACTCACTATTGCGAGAACAGTACCAAGGAGATGGTACTAAACCATTCCATTCATGAGAACTCCACTCACGATCCAGTCACCTCCCACCAGGCCTCACCTCCAAAACTTGGGATCACAATTGAACAAGAAGTTTGGGTGTGGACACAGGTCCAAGCCATATCAACATTAGAGCCAGATCAGGCTTCAAAGCCAGCCTTGGCCACTTATTTGCTGTGTGGCCTTGGATGATTTGCTTGACCTCTCTGTGGCTCAGTTTCTTCATCTATAAAATAAAAGTAGTACTCATGTCTACCTTGTGAGATTGTTGTGATGATTACGTTAGTATATATAAAATATATATTTGTACTATATACTAATGTATAATATAATATACATTATATATATATGTATATATAGCACCTAGAAAAGTGACTGGCATACAGTAAGCACCATATGAATGTTGGGTATTGTTACCGCCCCCATTTTACCCATGACAAAATAAGCCTAGAGAGGTGAACCACATGGCTGGGGAGCTAGGCTCTGAGCTCAGGACTCTCTGCCTTAAACATCTAGCAGGCTTATCGGAAAGAGCTTTGTGACTTGCGAGGTCACTGCCAGTATTGCCTCTTGCAGGAGCGTGTGCAGGGCCTGCTGCTCACCTTAGGCACCAGCAGGTAATTTATCCGAACGGGGTTCCATGCTGTGGTTATGGACAGACGCCCTGACTCACTGTGACCCACACAGAGGTGAGTGGCCGGCTGTGCAGTGGAAACCACAGCATTCCTGCGTCCCTAAACGACTGACATCAGCTTGGCCCTCTGGAACCCAGTGGTCTGTGCCAGCTTTCCAGAACCTTCCTCATGCTCCCCTAGAGAAGATGTTTCTCTGTTGCCTCTGGGTCTTGAGAGTGTTATTTGTAGACATGATTTTAAAAGTACTCACACCTGGGTCCCTCTCCTGGTGATTCTGATTTAGCCGGCGTGGGGTATGTCCTGAGCATTCATTTTTTCAAAGTTAATCCAGATGATTTTAATGTGCAGAAAATTTGAGAACCATTGGCTGAAGCAGTCCTCGGATAGAAGATGTGACCACGTCCCTAGCATCTGCTCTCTCCTTCCTTATTCCCACAGGGTTACGTGGCATCTGGAAACTAAGAGACTGGATTTCCTCCCTTGCAGCAAGGTGTGGCTGTGTGACTTATTTTTGTGAAGATGAGATGTGCCTCTTTTGGTACCCCCTCTCTCCTCATTCTTCCTGCAGTTGGAGAGTAGACACAGGATGGGGACTGTAACTTCAGTCAGGCAGAGAAGAGCCTCTCTCTGGTGATGGGGCAGTGATGTAGGTGAAGCCTGCATCCCAAGGCACCCTGAGGATTACAGTCACTCACCTGCCCTGGGTTGCCCACCTAATGAGAGAAAAATAACATTTCATCTGTTTGAGCCTCCGTGATTTTAGTTCTCTTTGCTAATACAGCTAAGGTTGTAATCTAGAAAATGACTGCTGGATTTTCTTTTTCTTTTTTTGAGACAGAGTTTTGCTCTTATTGCCCAGGCTGGAGTGCAATGACACGATCTCAGCTCACCACAACCTCTGCCTCCCGGGTTCAAGCAATTCTCCTGCCTCAGCCTCCCGAGTAGCTGAGATTACAGGCGTGCGCCACACCGCCCAGCTAATTTTGTATTTTTAGTAGAGACAGGGTTTCTTCATGTTGCTCAGGCTGGACTCAAACTCTTGACCTCAAGTGATTCTCTTGCCTCAGCCTCCCAAAGTGTAGGGATTACTACGCCTGGCCTACTGTGTTGTTCTTAAGCAGGATTGAGTGTCACAGTCAGCCAAGAAACTTTTAAAAAATACAGATAGAGCAAGATGGCTCACTAGAGATCCCTGACATCCTTCCTCTCAATAAGAAAGGACCAAGGCAGCAAATAAACTGCTAAGGCTTGACTCGAGTCATACGGGAGAGCACTGAAGTGAATCAGGGGAGGGAAGATGCATTTGTGGTGGTTGCAAGTCCAGGGGGACCCCCTGCAGGCACCTGGCCTCTGCAGCCCTGGCTGCCCTGCCCAGGTCAATTTGAAGTCAGGGGTACTTCCTGTTACAGGTAAAAAGATAAGCAGAAGATCTCCACCAGCCCTCACTGTCACGGCAACACCTAGTCCTCGTTACAGGAGAATCCCACAGTCATCGCAAGCCCTGAGTCCGGTGTGAAGGGCTGCTGGGAATCTACGCCACTGCCTTGAACCAGGTGAGCAGCACAAGATGTGCATGCCCCACCCACCCCGTGAGCCAAGCTGCTGCAGCACGGCACCGTCTTCAGACCAGAGCCACACCTGGAGAGCACCTGCTCTGGGGCCAGTGGACACTACACCTGTCTAGCCCTGGGGCTCCATCTTTATGCCAAGCCCAGGTGGGTGGCTGAACACTGCAATCCCAGCTGTGCATAGCTTGGGCCAGTGGGCCCAGGATCCGCTGTGACTCTGGTCTGCACAGCAGGGAAAACAACCCCTGCCATCACACTTCCAACTGGAGGAAAGGTCTGCCAGTCCCATCCAGGGCGAACCCACCCTTCAGCCGCCCAAACCGCTGCATGCCCTCATCCAGGCGGAAGAGGCTCCTGAGCCTCCAGGCAGCTGCTATGCCCCTGGGTCGGCAGAGTGACTACATGCCCATGTTCAAGGCCTGTGGAACAGCCCCACAGAGTCCCCCTGTCCCCCCCTCCCACCCCGCCACACACACAGATACACCCATGGCCTGCCCAACAGCCCTGTGTCCACAATAAGGGCCTGAGAAACAGTCTCACAAGCTGCCCCTGGCAGGCGCCCTCCCAGACCAGCCAACCAACCAAGAGCCCATTTGTGGACCTAAGAAACAGCCCCATGAGCCACCACTGGTGAGCACAGCCCTGAGCCAGCCAGGCAGCCTTGCACCTGTGTCCCAGCCCTGAGAAACAACCCTGTGCGCTGGCCCTGGCAGACAGGCCTCTAGACTTGGGGAGCAGCTGTGCACTCACTCCTGAGCCCAAGGAACAGCCCCACAGACCACCTCTGGCGGGCCTGCCCCAGGCCGACTGAGCAGCCCTGCGCCTGCATCCTGAGCTTATGAAACAGCCCCACAGGGCAACCCCTCCCCTGCAGAAATGCCCCCAAGCCAGATGAGCAGCCGTGCAGCTGTGTTACAGGCCTGAGAAAGATCTCTGTGCCCACACCCCACAGACATGTCCCCAGGTCATTCAAGCAGCTGTGTGCATACATCCTGGGCCCGAGGAGCAGGCTGCGTCTGGTGGGCATCTGACTGAGCAGCCTTGTGCCTGCATCCAAGATATATGAGATAGCCCCATGGGCCAAGCCCCACAGAAACAACCCCAGGCCAGCCAAGCAGCCACACAGTTGTGTCCTGGACCTGAGAAATGGTCCCATGGGTCACCCGCAGAAAACACAACCCCAGGCTAGCTGAGCAGCCATACACCTGCATACCAGGCCCCAGAAACAGCTCTGCAGGCTCCTCCTGGGAGGCACGCCCCAAGGCTGGCCAAGCAACTGCTGTCTAAGCTCTTGGTCAAAGTAACAACCCCGTGGTCCCAATCCCAGTGAGCCAGAGCGCAAGTTGGCCAACATACCATGTGCAAACATGCACCCAACCTGAGAAACAGGCTAATGAGCTCACCCCTGGCAAAACTGTACATCACAGCCACAAACTCTCTCAGCCTAGGACACTGAGAAACTTGCAAATGCCACTAGTGTGGCTTACAGCTGTAGAAATGACATGAAGACTACACTACAGCGTTTACGTAGAAGCAAAGTCAATGCACCCCACGAAACTGATACCCTGAGACCTATTCATATGACTAAGTCTTTGCCTACGAAACCTACTCCATAAAACTGGAAAAGGCAACTTTTCCACTAGATGTACAGAAATTGTCATAGGGACACGTCAACCATGAAAAAGCAAGGAAACAAGTCACCTCCAAAGGAAAATAATAATTCTCCAGTAACAGACCCCAATCATGAGGAAACATGAAATGCCAGAAATAGGATTCAAAATAATAGTCTTTAGGAAACTTAATGAGATAAAAGAGAATACAGATAGATAATTCAACAAAGTCAGGAAAACAATTCATGATTTGAATGAGAAATTTAACAAAACAATAGATACCATATAAAAGGACAAAACAGAAATTATGCAGCTGAAGAACGTAACAAATGTAATTTTAAAAATACATCAAGATCTTCAACAACATACTAGACCAAGCAGAAGCAAGAATTCCTGAACTTGAAGACAGGTCTTTTGAAATAACATAGGCAGACAAAAAAGAAGAAAAATAATAAAAAAATAATAAAGAAATCTATGGGGTTTATGGAATACCAATAAGGGAACAAACATTCATATTGTGGGTGTTCCAGGAGAAGAGAAGGGAAAAAGTGAGGAAAACATATTTAATAAAATAATAGCAGAAAACGTTTCAAGTTTGGGAGAGGGATGGATGTCCATTTCCAGGAGGCTCATGGAACTCCAAATAGATTCAACACAAATAGGTCCTCTACAAGGCACATTATATAGTATGCCTTGTCAAAAGTCAAAGACAAAAAAAAGGATTTTAGAAGCCGCAACATCACTTTGTACCCCCGTGAATATATATAATTATTACTTGTCAATTAAAATAACAAAAATTTTTAAAAATACAGATACCCAAGACCCACCAGAGACTTAGCAAACCAAAACCTCTGGGAATGGGCAAGGGCATTTTAAAGCTCCATGGGTGATGTAAGGCCCTCCCTGATGAAGATCCACTATGACAAACAGCTAGGACAGTTTGTTCCACTGGTCAGATGCCCCAGAGCTCAGGTCCCTGGGAGGGTCTTCAACTAGGTAGGCAGCCCAGCCAGGTGCACCCTCCCTTTGCAGGGCTCCTGGAGCACATCTGTCCCCTCTGATTGTCCAGCATTCAGCCCCTCCTGGATGGCGTTGATAGCAACTTGTCTTGCGTTGTTCTCTCTGATTGAGCTTCAAACAATTTGTGTGCACCAACTGTGTCTTGCCCCTTCTGTGTCCCCAGCAGCACCTTGCCTGACTCTGGGTCTACCAAAGGAGCTCAGTGTGCATTTGCCGATTGATTCCAGTAAGCCAAGAAATGAAGGGCCACAAGGAAAGAGAGAGGGACCAATGAGAAGTCCCCATTTCCTCAGCCTTCCAGCAGCAAGACATAGCTGACAAAGTGAGTTGTTCTCAAAGGGCTGATATTTTGAATCAGAAAAGAAGGCTTGCAAAATGCATATTTACAAATGTTCTTCTTTTAGCATGAAAGGTTGCTATGGAGACCTGTGATGGTGACACGAATTTCTGGCTTAAGACCATGTTGGGCTCCTTGTATTAAGCCAGGTATGCTGCTGGGCTTGTGCTGCTGCAGCTGCAGAGGCTGGGCGGCACCCCCAAGTGCCTGGGGACAAAGGGAGAGAAATCCCTCAATGTGAAAAGTCTTCCAGCACTAAGGATGCTATGTTCTCTTCCAAAATGGATAATTAGTCAAGGCAAGCAGCATCTGTCTCCCAAGATCAAATCCTCTTTATTTCAAAGCCTTCACATATGTGAGACACCCCAACCCCAATCTGGCTTTGGTTTGCAGGACTTGGCCTTTAGAATACACAAACTCAGTTCATCCTCCAGATTCCAGACAAGCAGGAGGAGCTCCCAGGGCCTTTATCCAATGCCTATGTCTGCTCATAAAAGCAATCCAATTATCAAGACCATTGGCATTGCTGCTGCTTTGCAGGAGGCATCCAGGATGCTAAATAATTGCACTATCTAATTGCATGGAGCCCTTTCCTAAACCATAAAGATCTACACCAAGCTTCACTTGAACTGCATTTTCTCAACTCCCATGCCAAAGACAAAACCAGAGTAATCATGCAGAGATCGTAGCAAGGAAAAAAATATTGCTTTGAACTCCATGGGAATGCTTCTTCAGCTCTGAAGCCCAGATTATCTGCTTTTAGGGCTTATGGCAGAGTCTTTGAATGAGCCCTGAGTAGGGGTGTAGAAGTGAGCCTCACCTAGTGCTGTGTTATTTGACTCTCTGTAATGCAAGTTTCTTCAGAATAAGGATTGGGTCTTTTATTTTGCTTTTGTCTCATATAGGAAACTGGTTGGTATACTTGGTGACATACTGCTTGGACCTTGGGACAACATCTTCCCTTCTGAGATTGTGAACAGGTGTCTCAGTGTGTGTGAGAACTTGCAATCTCTCTGCCTGTCCATGTAGTATCCTTCTGCTATCAAAGAGTGCACACTGCTTTCAGGACACAGTGGGATACAGCGAAGCAGCCATCCCAGAGACTGTGCCCTCAGAGCCTATTAATGCCTACTTCTTGAAGTGTTGTATAAGAGCTCTTCTGCTTTTCCTGCCTAACAGGAATTAAAGTAGATTAAGAGGTGTATGGGTTGAGAACTAGCATGAAACACTGAATCAATCCAAAGAGACTAACTGGAAATGCCTAGAATAGATGACTTCATTCTAGCCACTCCTGCTACCCCACCTCCACTTACCCTAGTTGATATTTGAGTGTTTTGTAATGACAAAGCCCCAAACTGTTGCTGAGGAGAACTGCTAACACTCACTCGCACTTCTTCAAAGATGCTTGTCCCTTGTGGTTGAGAACTGTGAGACAGTTGGGCACCTTCTCAGTTGAGGAAGACAAGAAAGAAGAAAATGCCCAAGGTGAGCTTTAATGCAGAGGGCAGCTCAGCAACCGCCACTTAATTCTTCATTGAACCCAGAAGAAAACAAGGCAAGTTCTAACAGAATTAGGCAAGGTTGGCTGGGCACCGTGGCTCACGCCTGTAATCCCAGCATTTTGGGAGGCCAAGGTAGGTGGATCACCTGAAGTCAGGAGTTTAACACCAGCCTGGCCAACAGGGTGAAACCCCATCTTTACCAAAAAATACAAAAAATTAGCTGGGTATGGTGATGCATGGCTGTAGTCTCAGATACTTAGGAGAATGAGACAGGAGAATTGCTTGAACCTGGGAGGCAGAGGTTGCAATGAGCCAAGAGCCAAGATGGCACCACTGCACTCCAGCCTGGGTGACAGAGTGAGACCCTGTTTTAAAAAAAAAAAAAAAACAAAAATGAAAAACAGAATTAGGCAAGACTAAAGGCAGAAAGCAGCTCATGCTTCTCAGGACCGTGACTTTGGACTGGGCCACTTGAATGACCTTTGAATGATGTCTCAATCCATTGACACTTGGCTCCATGCACGCATGCTCACTGGGTGCAGAGGCTTTACCACCACTGCACCTAATTTTCTGCTTCCCCAGAAGGTTGCTCTGTCCCAGCAGCAGTTTCTAATAATGTCCCTGAGTTAGCCAATGTTTCATTTTCCAAAATGGCAGCCATTTTTGTTGACTCTAGGTAATCCCCTACTAGGAAATTTCTTAGCACTCTATGCCTGCTGCTAACCCAGATCCCACTGGTGCAATCCTGCTCATGGGCTTGATAGACCCAATCACAGCCTTGGCTTCTGTCTTGGGAGTTGGGGTAGTGAGATTGGGAGCATAACTTAAAAAGCTGTAGGGTCTCACAGGCCTGGGAATCAGATCTGAGCTCCACCACTTGCTACTTGTGTGACCGCTAAGTCTCAGTTTCTTATGTATGAAGTGCGAATAGTAATAGTTCCCATCTCATATGATTCTTGTGAAGATTAAATAAAATACTGCATAGATGGTGATTAGCCCAGTTCCTTGCCCATACGAATACTATTATTGTTAATAATAATAATTTTAATATTCTGGGGCACAGAGTTTGATTGATCAAAATTTGTCTTTCATGAAACACTGTCACCATTGCTCCTTCCTTGTCCCCCTCCCCTGGCACCTTTACCCCAGAGTGACCATTTTTATCCACCATACTTATTCATTCCTTTGTTTTGTTTCCCATGGTTGCTTTATTTTTTTTAATATATATATATATATTCACCTATGCAATATGTTACTTAGCTTTGCTTTGTTTTTGAACTTTATAAAGAGAGTATCAGGCTCTATGTAGTTATCTGGGACTTGCTTTTTTCACTCAATGTTACCAACTAATGATATGGTAATATTACCAACATTCATCCGTGTTGATGAATGTGACTGTGATTCATTCATTGTCCATTGTTGCAGAATATTCTCACATGTAACTATAGCACAATAAATATATTCATTCTCTTGTTCTTGGGCACTTGGGTTTTTTTGTAAATAGTTTTATTGAGATATAATTCACATACCATACAAGTCATCTATTTAAAGTGTACACATTCAATGACTTTTAGGATATTCACAAAGTGGAGTAACCATCATGACAATCAATTTTAGAACATTTGCATCACCCCAATAAGAAACCTCCTGTATTCATTAGCAATAACTCCCCTCCTTTCCCCAATTTCTTCAGCCCTTGACAACCTACTTTCTCTCTAATGTACTTTCTGTCTCTACAGATTTGTCTATTCTGGACATTTCACATCAATGAAATTCTATACGATGTGGACTTTGTGACTGGCTTCCTTCACTCCGCAGAATATTTTCAAGGCTCCTCCATACTGTAGGATGTGTCAGCATTTAACTGTATTGCCAAGTAATTTCCCACATTTTATTTATCTGTTCCTTTGTTTATGGACATTTGAGCTATTTGTTTATGGTTTTCTGCACTTACTAACAGTGTTATTGAACATCAGACCACATTATTCCCCGGGCACATGTGCAAGAGTTTCTCTAGGGTATATTCTTGGAGCTGTTGAACTATAAGGAAAGCAAACGTTCAACTCTACAAGATCATGCCAAATTGCTTCCCAAAACATTTTGACAATTTACACTTTGCCCAGCAACATAAAATATATCACTGACCCACATCATTATTAATATTTGGCACAGCCAGCATGTCTAGTTTTCGTAAAGCTTGTTTACTTTTTTAAAATTTATTTTAAACAATCAAGTCACTGCTCTACATTTGACCCATTGTCTGATAATGAGATTCTAATGGAGATCTGGACAGAAACGGCTGCTTGCTCGATGGCTTCCTCCATAATTAGCAGCTCATCTCTGTAATAGTTCTAGCTTTTACTTCCTGACCCAGAATTTTGATGTTACTGTTTATAGCACTGTGCTTTCTTCCCAGATGGGCTCTATGTTCCATCTACTGGCTGGTCCCAGAGTCTCACTCTACCTTTTCCCAGGCAGAGAGGAGACAGGGCTGTCCCATATCTTTGATCTTGGTAATACACACTCCCACGTACACAGATGTGTGCGTACACACACACACACACACACACCATACACACAAATACATTCATACCATGAGCCTCCAGCCACATCCAAACAGGAGGATGAGGGCAAGCAGGAAGGCATTCTGATGGCATCAAACCCAGAGAGAAACCCCACTTCATTTGAATGGCTCATCTTGTGAATGCCAGAAAAGGAGGGCACTCTCGGGGTTTGCCTTTGTACCGTCCATCAATTTCCAGGCCGTCAAATGCAAGTTACAGTGAATGTGCTTGTAATTCCCATGCACTGAATTCTCTCCAGAACCTCATTTTATTTACTTACTGTCTTTCCCATTAATTAAATTTCAATAGCATTTTCCCTCCAGAGGGCCCTACAAATGACTTCCATAATAAACACTTCATGAAAAGACTAACTCTGAAAGTCAGTAGAGACGATAGAAGCAGAAGACAGAGTGTGAAGAACAAAAGGACACGGGGAGGGGGCTTTTAGGATGGCCGTGGACAAGTAAGTACTTGCCTTGCAGCTGTCCCTAGAGAAGGGACATGCCATTCAGTCGGGTGTGGTCAGCAAACCACTCCAGCTCTCAGCTTCTTCAGGGCCGAGGGCACCCTGCCTCTGATCTTGCTCACATCCAGTGACTGAGTGAGGAGCAGGTCTCAAAGCCTGGCCCCTTCAGCCTAGCCTCTTGGGATAGCCAAAGCTTGGTCAGGCCTGCAGTATACTATTTTCTCAAGCTGTCCTAGCTGCTCCTGCTCCCTCTTGCAGAGGTTGACCCCTACTCAACACCTTGCACCCCAACTGTTTCCATGTTGGTTTCTGGAGAATCTCTGTTTGTGTGACTACATGATGAACTATTTAGGGAATCTCAAATTGTTCTACTTAGCTTTTGCAATTTTTTTTTCAAATATAAATAGTACTGAAATTCATATCCTTATGAACGTCTTTCTCACATCCTAAGATAGAAGGTATCCTCAGAGCTAATCCTAAAATGGACTGGGTCAAAATGTTAGGCATATTTTAAGACTTTTAATGCTTATTTGCAAATTACCTTCAGAAATGTCAAGCCAACTACCACTCCCTGCAAAAGAATATGACAGTGTAGAAGAGTCCATGTCTCTGAGTGCTTATGTGACATTTCTTTTTCTCTCTCTTTTTTTTTTTTTTCCGAATGGAGTCTCACTCTGTGTTGCCCAGGCTGGAGTGCAGTGGATGCGATCTCGGCTCACTGCAACCTCCGCCTCCCGGTTCAAGTGATTCTTCTGTCTCAGCCTCCCAATTAACTGGGATTACAGGTGCCCAACCACCATGCCCAGGCTAATTGTTGTATTTTTTAGTAGAGCAGGATTTCACCATGTAGAGGCCATGCTGGTCTTGAACTCCTAACCTCAAAGTGACCCTCTCACTTCAGCCTCCCAAAGTGCTGGGATTATAGGCATCAGCCAGACCTGCCCGGCGGGACGTTGGCATTTTCATGTTTGTAAAATTGTTCCATGCACATGGAGGGTGATGGATATTATTTTGTTTTAGTTTTTCTTCTTTGATTACTTGTAAAACTGAATGTTTTTGTAGAGTGAAAGCAGCAAAAAGCTATGTAAGATAAGAAGGAAGATAGAGATACAGGTAAATAGAAATAAGAAAAACGATTTCAAGAAGAACAAATTTTTAAACAGTTCCATTAAGGTAACCTCGATCTATAATAACCACATATATTTAAGGTATACAATTTGGTAAGTTTTGAATATGGGGCATACCTGTGAAGCCATCACACAAAAATTGAGGAGTACTGAATGTATCTGTGACCCATAAAGCTTCCCATCTGTTGTAATCTTACCCTATCGATTTCGCCCCTTCCACCCCACCCACCACTCCCAGGCAACCACTGTTCTGCTTTTTGTCACTATAGTATTAGATTTCATGTTTCAAACAATTTTATTTAAAAGGACTTTATACTACTGATTATATTTTGTCTGACTTCTTTTACTCCACATAAATTTTTACAATTCATCATGTTGTTGCATGAATCAACAATTCATTCCTTTTTATTTTTGAGAAGTGTTAGTTGTTATGGATATACCAC